TTGTGCTTTATAGTTCTCTTGATTGATGTGTTTAATCCATTATTTTAAATGTTGATTTTGGTCTTCTTGATTGTTTAGGCGTACAACTAAATGATTGAGTTGTTTCAATAAATGTTATTTTGGGATATATACAGCACGTAATAGCTATTTATTCTAAAACCTTGTGGCAATTACATTTCAATAGATTATGAGGAATTTTCAATTGATTGTATGTGGATTAACACTTAAGTGAGTAAACCGAATTTGTGAATTTACCCTTAATTAATCTCATCTCTTTTGTTGTAATTTTTTGTTAAATTAAATCTAGAGAGTTTTTTCTAGGTTGTTTAATGAATATGGTTGAGTAAAGAGCTTGTTTTATTCAACTAACATGTAAGAAGAGATTGAGATAATTGAACTCAAGTATTCTCAAATTGTTGTTAATCTAGAGAACGAAAATTCATAGTGGTAATTGATAGGAAAATCATTCTCGTGGTAACGAAATACCCCACAATCACATTTTCAAATATTTAATCAAAAACTACTTTGTTTATTTCAAAATATTTAATCTTTTCTATTTTGAATTTATTGGTTTTCTTAGTTCAACGAACCAGGCCCCTCCACATAATCAATTTCGTATATAACTGTTAATTTCACTTTCTAGCGTGCAATTGATTAAATTGAACTAATAATCCACGGGAAATGACCCTTGCCATAGTACTATTTAAGACGACACGTTTAAGCTAAGTAAGGAAAATTAATCAGTATGTCATTTGGAACGTATCAACGATATTTAATATATTATAGATTATTTAAATTTAAATTTTATGTACAAAAGATACAAATCATATATTGTTTTTAATTGATTATTTATTTATAGTTGGTGGTGAATAAAGGCCACTTACGAGAAAATTACATTATTTGTTGACTTCTATAAGATTTAGCGCCTTGTCTAGTCTTTGAAATAAAAATTTGTATTTTCATTGAATAGTGTTTAAAAGAGATGCAATTTTTTAAAATACTATCATGTAAATAGATTTAATTGGGAATTTGTTATATTATATAGCTAAGGTTTCAATTCTTGACGCTTGTGTTGCACTATTATGATAATGTATTATCGATATAGAAATTGATATTTGTATTATTATCATTTTTAATAGCTCGATAATTGTAGTCGAGAAAGCTACACCTATAGTAATTTCTATAACATGAATTTATAATAATCTTTTGTGAAGACATCCGTTTGAAATTGAATTTCAAAAAATAAATATATCTCAATTTATCGCATGGTTTTCGATTAGGGACTCCGGACTAGAGAATAGTTGGATCTCAATTTATCGCATAGCGCAAGTGTTGTTTGTCATCGGTCTACTTATATAGATCCTCTTAAATGTAGATATGTGAGACCCTTTTAATTGGATATATCGTTGTATTGTCACGTGGATATAAGCTAAAAATTACTCGTGCTACGTAACATTATTTTTACTATAATTGCATGATTATAAATTTTATCGAGTCTTGAACATTATTTCACTAAAATCATGGACATCCAAATTTCTATGATATTCTATAGGTGGGGCCCGTCTTATTCTCCTTTTAGATATTCACTTGCCAATTTGTAGCCCATCTCCCTTTGTTTATGAGACAGCACTTAGCTTTACAAGTTTATTTCAATTATTCAAACTTCACTTTTTTCCTTCTCAAATGATTCCAAGAAAAGGAAAAGTAAATCATAACCAAAATCATAGATTCGTGCTGATTTTCTGACCTTGAGTTGATTAAATTGCAACCTCACTAATTACGAGGAAACCAAGGCTTTCAATCTTATAACAAAATATTTTCCCACCATTCGTCTCTCTCCCGCTTGTAGATTTTGTTTACTACAGTTAGTTTACTGGTCGTGTGCATTTTACGGTAGCAAAAATGTATGACGAAATAACTATTATATTCCTTTTTAAAATCATCTAAATACCCTTTAGACAATCTCGTGTGAGAAGTATGTGATGATATTCAACTTGATGTTGGATAAAGTCGCAGTTCATATTCAAATGCTACGAAATTTGAAGTTTGGGGACTTGTCAGAGAAAATGAGAAGAATGATTAGTGGTCAATTTTTTCAATTTTTTTATTGAAATAATAATTTGAAACTTACCTATTTAATTATAAATAAATTACTTATAAGTAGATTTATTTTTATGCATACTTTTTAAGCTTAGTCAAAGATACACTTAGGAACCTTATTGGACTTAAGAAATAGGAATTTATTTTGAAGGGCCTAAATTAAATGCACATTATAAAAAATGACTACGCTTTTTAAAACTGTTTCATTCAAAAATCTCGAATTACCGGTAGCTATCTTCTCCCCCTTGACCCCTTCAACATATCGATTTTGACTGGAGTCCATTTTTTTCTATAGAGCAAGATTTTCGATTGGTCTTTAACTTTTTACACGTGAAATAAATGAAAAACATCCACTAAGAAACCATACATGCTAAAAAATATTAGGGACTTGTTTACACAAATTTAATATGTCAGCAATCTCTTTTATTTCATCGAGACATAATGTCATGGGGCACACCCAATTTAATTTGACGACAATGACAGTATACAAATGTTCAATGATCATCAATTTGGGACCCAAGTGGTCTTATGCCTTATGGTAGTGCGAGTTACACTTGGTTAGTGGAGAATTTCTCAAGTTTATGGGACCAAAAATTAGCACATCCGCCGTCGGTTCAATAAACTAGTAACTAATTGCTCCAAATTCTATAGTCTTCCCCCAGTGATTTGCTTAGGCCAAAGATAATAATTAATATTAGGGAAAAATGATACTTACCAAAATAATGCTATTTATCAACAAGGGTGATGCACGACAACGAAGTCACTGTCATATTGTCTAATTCATAAAAATGCATTATTTTATTGAATAGTCACATTCTTTGTTAATTTTTCATTAAGACTTCATGTCTACAACGGTTTAAAAAAAAAAAAAAAATCATTTTTTCAACTTGGAAAGTGGTTTCTTATGTGTACAAGCGAATTTAGCCATGTTTGGTTCGGATTAAAATCTGATTTTAATTCAAATCAAAGTCAAACAATTAATATTAATCATATCTTTCATGAGTCCTACAACTTTTCAACCACACATTTCAAAAACTTATATCACAATTTACTAAAAATCTAATTTTAATCCCGACCAAACACCCTCTAAATGATCACATACAGACTTCAAGTGATTGGCGTGGAGAATATATATCAACAAATTTATATTTAAAACCTTCTATCAAAGAAAGTTTACGAGAGAGACAATAAATATTACACTCAAAAAAAAAGACGAGATAACATCCAATCGACAAGATTTATCAGTCAAGACTATAACATCAACCCCACAATGGTAGAGAGCATTGAAAAGGAAGGACCACACCTCCCTAAATTGGGACAACTGCCCCAGCCTCCAAGACTAGTCTATTTTGAACCTCAAATTGTTCAACAACATATCCCCACACATTTTCGCAGTATATACTATTAACATTTTGCATCCAAACAATATCTCGGCAAAAAATTGAAAGATGGGTCCGTAACCTATAGTCTCTATAGTAAATTTGTTCCTAACATTTAAAATGGAGCAACTCAATTCTCGGCTTCTCATTGTCGTACGAGTACTCATGCTCCCAACCTGCTCCCTTTCCTTTTGTTTCGTCCCCCTACCCCAGCTGTGTCCTATGCGACTCTCCTATTCCCATTCCGAGATTCAAATTCTTTGACATTGGGTAACTTGTTCATATTTTGGTTACTACACAACGGAATCCATTGAGATAGCAAGATGGTTGTTAATTTGTTGTTGGCCTTCCGGCATGGTGGGAATAATTGGTTAATGGCCTCGTGATAGTAAATTCGGAACAACATATCTCAACTCTTATTCTACAAACATATACGCCCAAACCCACCAAAAAAAACCAGTCAATGTGGAGAAGCATGCTTTCATGGACAGACAATTGACAGTGCCTTCTCCAAACGTTCCTTAATTCTTACAGACAAAAACGAAACCCAAGAAAAGAAGAAACACAAAAAGCAACAGTACAAAAACAGAATATAGTACTACTGTATCGCCACTGTGTTACTGCTACACTCTAATCTTTATCTTTTTTTATGGCCGTCTTTAACTGCTTTAGCTTTGTCTGTAAAACCAATTGGCAAAGTGAAAAAAAAAACCGCAACAAAAGACAGTATTAGTGTTTACCAGATTCAACTTCACACTTTGCTGACCAAAAGGACAGCTGAATCTGTCGTTTTATGCCTTGTGTTGAAGCAAAACGACATACCATTTTCCACTAATATGCTGGGCCGGCCTTGGGTTTGGGTCAAAAAGAAACCATAATCTCTCTCTCAGACACATTTTTTTGTGTGAAAGAGAAGGTGGGCTGTTGTTTTTTGCACTTTATTTTGTTCAAATTCCATACAAGAATTGCATTGTCTTGTTCTTAAGGTGAATTCCTGTCTCACTCTTGGTCATTCACATTTTGTTTTCTGGGCTTAGGCTCTTTCTTCTATAGAAAAGGAATAATTTTGTTCAATGCCCATTTGGAAGTTGATCATTTCAATGCATGAAAGTTAGTACTTTCCGTTGAAATTCGTGGAATTATAGTTTGCTTCATCTTGTTGAGCTCAAGATTTTTCGAAAGAGGGAGTGTAGAAAGAGTGGCGCATGAAGGAATAGTGGAAAAATGAGAGATGGAAATTCCAAGAAAAGCAAGGTTTCTTTCTTGAAAAATTTCAATTTTTACTTTTTAAAAAAAAAAAACAGAAACCACATTGTTAATTGACCATTTTTCTTTGTTGATGTGAAGTTCTCATGGTCGAAGAAACTGGTAAGAAAATGGCTCAATATTAAGGGCAAATGTGAGGAATTTGCGGCTGATGAAGCTGTTTATGCAAGTGAGTATAAACTTTTGATCTTCCTTCAAATTTTTTTTTTCTTTCTTTCTTTCTTTAGCTTTTGTTTGATTGTTGAATTGGGTTTCCACTTTTAGTACTGTTTGTTTATATTTTCATTTCTTTATTAATTTCATTCTGTCTTCATATTAATAATTATGCTTGTCATGAAGTTAACATTTGGCTGCTGAGGAAATCAAGGAATAACTTTTTCATTTAATTTTTTTTTAATTCTCTTTATTTGTCTTTGTAGGCTTTGTCTTTTATTGGAACCAAAGATATAGGATTATTTTTCAAGATTTTTACTTCTATGAGGTTCTTTTTAATGAAACAAGATTATGAGGAATTTAAGTACTTAAACTACTTAGATAAAAAAAAAACTCAATAAAATTGATGATTGCTTTGAATTTCATATTGAGACATGAGGTATTAATACCGATGTTCTACACATTCTACTCTAGGGGGTGATTCGGATTGGAGGAATAGCTGCTCCGAGAGGGAACCGTGTACAATCAAGAAAAGTAAAACCGGTATGTGATATCCTACTTTAGAAAGTTTATTGATCCACACTTGCTTTAGTCTGAAAATCCACATATTCAGATCAATCTATGTTTGTTAGTTTTGGTCTATTTATATGAATGTCCTGAAACTCGCTCTTTGCTTCAATGACATCAATCTTAATCTTTTAAGTCTTACCGTGCTTGATTGAACAGAAAAACCAATCAACAGTATAGAACGATCCTATTCCCGTTCTCGATCCCGTCGAGGGAGAGGTTATCTAGATCACCCTCAGATTGTAAATGTACAGAATTATAGGTTTGTTTCTTTCATAGATGTTCTTCATGTTATAGGCTTCAGCTCTTTTTTCGATTTCTTAGTGCTTCTCGTTTCGTGGAGCAGTGTCTTCGTATCAACATGGAATGTTGGGGGGAAATCGCCGTCAAGCAGTTTGAATCTAGATGATTGGCTACATTCTGCACCTCCTGCAGATATTTATGTACTAGGGTATACCTTCAAATCTTGATTTACTTGTCTACTTTGAACTGACTTTGTTACTTCTTTTATCAACAGAAATACTTGGTTTTTGCCTTTTAGGTTCCAAGAGATAGTTCCTTTGAATCCCGGAAATATTCTGGGTGCCGAAGACAATGGGCCTGCCAAAAAATGGTTAGCTCTTATACAGAGGACTTTAAATAATGCACCTGGAACTAGCGGAGGACGTGAGTGTTTTACACCATCGCCAATCCCCAATCCAATTGTTGAATGGAATGCAGATTTTGAGGGATCAACCAGGCGGAATGCATCTTCCTTCTTGCATCGACGATCTTTTCAAACACCACAATATTGGAGAATGGACAATGACGTGTCAATACCACAATCTCACCCAAATAGTCGACATAGTGTATGTGACCGGGTAATTTTGGGTCATAGGCCTAGTGATATCGATACAAATATCAGATGGGGTTACAGGCCAAGCGACTGTTCCTCTATTCAGAGGCCTAGTGACTTTTCCTCTAGTCGTCGGCCAAGTGATTATTCCTCTGGTCGTCGGCCTAGCGACTATTCATCTGGTCGCCGTCCGAGTGACTATTCCTGGGGTCAGAGACCGAGTGATTTCTCTAGATGGGGTTCAGATGAGGATTATATGCCTGAGGACTCGCCTGGCACAGTGTTGAATTCGCCAATGTCCTGCAGTGGATATGCACCAAAGGAAGAGGGATACACATTGCCTGGCCATTCTAGGTACTGTTTAGTTGCGAGTAAGCAAATGGTTGGTATATTTCTCACGGTTTGGGTTCGAAGAGAATTAAAGGAACACGTCCAGAACATGAAAATATCTTGTGTTGGCAGAGGATTGATGGGATACCTGGGAAATAAGGTAGTTTTTCATACGAAAAGAGTAGTCTTTACAAGTTCCTATACACAGTTGAATATTTAGAACTAAGAGTAAGAACTGTGAATATTTTTACAGGGATCCATTTCGATTAGTATGTTGCTGCATCAAACAAGCCTTTGCTTTGTGTGCAGTCACTTGACTTCAGGTCAGAAGGAGGGTGATGAAATACGTAGAAATGCTGATGTAATGGAGATCCTTAGGAAAACAAGGTTCCCACGAGTAAATAGCATCAGTAATGAGAAGTCTCCGGAAACAATCCTCGAACACGAGTAAGCCCAGCAAATCATTAACTTCCATTTCTGGTATTAATCCATTCAAATGGTGAAAGTAAATTGTTTCACCGTATCTGTATAGTATTTTCGTAGTTGATGATAATTGGTTGCTATTTACCGATAAGTTTATATTTTGATCTAGCCGAATTATTTGGCTTGGGGATTTGAACTATCGAATAGCACTACCGTACCGGTCTGCTAAAGCACTTGTTGAGATGCAAAATTGGAGAGCATTGTTAGAAAAGGACCAGGTACTTGATATATTTTCTTTTTGAACTCTTTCGGCATAATATTTTTCACTGATGGTCAATATAATAGTGAATAATGTATTGTTATTATCAGTTGCGGATAGAGCAGAGACGAGGCCGAGTTTTTGAAGGATGGAGAGAAGGGAAGATATATTTTCCTCCAACTTATAAATACTCACACAATTCAGACAGATATGTGGGGGGTGAAATGCATCCTAAGGAGAAACGAAGGACACCTGCGTGGTTAGAACTCTTTCGTTTACTGATCAATATGCCTTATATGTTGATTATTCATTAACCAAGTAAAAATTGATCAGGTGTGATCGAATTTTGTGGCATGGAGACGGCCTTCAGCAGTTATCTTATGTACGCGGGGAGTCTAGGTTCTCAGATCATAGACCAGTTTCCAGTGTGTTTTGGGCCGAAGCTGAGTCGGTTCCCAGCCGGTTGAGGGAAAACGCTAGTTGTTCTAGCTCAAGGATTGAGGCGGAGGAGTTGTTTCCTCCATACTCGCACGGTTACACAGAACTATGCTTCTTTTGAAGCAGTAAAAATAGATGGCTGGAATGAGTACGTGTTCTTTCCCTCCTCGAACATCTAATATCAGTGCTTCGAGGGTGTGAAATTTTAAGCGTGCTAGGTAAGGTATGACAAAATTTGCAGGCGGGAAATGCTTTGAGGAAACGCAGGGTGAAGAACGATGGGGACATCCTTTGCCCATTAACTGAAAAAGGTGAAGCCTAATGCTCTTTTACCTTTCTTGATTATGCTGCTGTTTGTCATTTTCTTTTCTGATTTTTTGCCCTCCATTTTCTGATCAGGTGTAGATATTAGACATATACTAACAAAGAAATCGGTCTCACCTCTTGCTATTGACCTGTCCAATAACAAACGCCATCACTTCTCGAAGAACCAGACCAGACCAGACGAGATTATCTTCACCAGTTTACTACGCGGGGCGGGAAAGAATCCAATCCGACTTGCTAACTAATCACATGTTATTTTGTATAATACAAGATTCTTTATTTCTTAGTATAGAGATTCATTACTATTTGTTTGAACAAAAAGAGAAGTGATAATTTGATATACACTCTCGAATATTGCCAATGATTTCACTGAAAAGTAACCATATTGGGAGGGTAACTCTCATCTATTGTTGTCTGCTTTTTCTTTTGTCTGTAAAGATTATAAAAGCATAAAACAGGTTGCAGATCTTGATAGATTCACTTTTCTACTTATGGTTACTTATAATCAAAATAAGTTTTCTTTTTAAGCACAAGATAAGTAATGGAGTGAGAGAGTGATGTAGGATAACTAGCTTTGGAGTTTCAAGAAGTGCTGGACGGAAAATTAACAAAAAAAAAAGACCGCGTCGAGGGCACTTTTGTCATTTGTTGCGACGGTGTCGAATTGGGCTAAAATTTGGCTTGTTGATTGGAAACGGTCAGAAAAATTGGACTCGGGGCTCTCTCGGGATTTTAGCCAAATTCCTTCGTTTACGCCTCCGAATAATTAATTTCCATATTTTCCGTTTTGAATTTTAGCTATTTTTGGATCATTTTACTATTCTATGTTTTTAAGGTTTCTTACAACGCCTATTTAAAGGTTTTTGAACGTTTTCGGTATTATAATTGATTGCATACAAATTTCGTTCTCGGAGAATTCCAGTTTTATAATTTCCAAGATTTACGTCGGTAAATTTTTTACTTCCATTCTGCGTTAGAGAGCTATCCTATTCGTTACTCCCAACCAACCAAATAGAGACTAGTTATATTCTTAAAACAAATATCTGATTTGAGTGTCGGAATACAATAAGAAAAACATTATTTTTAATCTTAAAATCTGATTGAGCAAGAAATGAGGAAGCTTGACACTTTCCTAATATTAAGCCCCTGTTTGTCTACCATTTTTCAAAAAATTGTTTTCTACAGTAATTAATCTCTACCACACATTCAAATAATAAAATATTCTACACATAAATCGATAAAGTTTTTCAATTTCAACCACACATTTTCCAAAAAATACTATTCATTACACGATTTTTTTTGCAATAATGGGTGACAAACAGACACTAACTATGATTGGACAACTAAAAAAGGGGTTGATAACATGTAACAATTTTATGCTTAAAATTTTAAAAAAAGCGTGAACGGCAGGATTCGAACCTGCGCGGGCAGAGCCCACATGATTTCTAGTCATGCCCGATAACCACTCCGGCACGTCCACTGTTCTGGCTGATGGCGAACTAAATGTCTAATATTTAACCATATAAATTTTGTCGATTTTTAACAAAATTGATTTGATTTGGATTTGATTATAATCATAAGTTCAATATCAAACTCTAATTTTTAATTATAAACTTCCTAAGATCCACAATCAATGATAACTTATTCAGAACTCATTTTTATTGCTAATAGTAGTGCTTGAATATTTTTTATTTCAAGCATAGATACATAAATAATAAAAGTATAAAACTTTCAGAAGTAAAGAAGTTAGATGAATTAAAATAGTCAAAACGAATCTCCATTTTGCCTTTTGATTTCTAGATTACACAATTAAAAAAAAAAAAAAACTTTAAACACAAAATACCATTATATAGTGTTGGAGCCATCACTCACATATGAAACTTACACTCCATTTAAATGACAATTTGTGAATGATCTACAAATTCAATCATATTCAATCACTAACTTTAACTACACATTTATAACTACTACTCATTATTATCCACTCATTTTGTAGAACTCACTGCTATTTCTCTATATAAACTATTTATGAAACTGTCGAATAGAAGCTTAATTACAAGTTCTGTTTTTCAAACAAAACAATATTTTACAATTATTCTCCGAGGGATAATATTAGAATAACGATGCAAAAGATAAAAAAATAAAAATCAAACTATAATTTTGCTTTGATGTATAACAAATTCACTTCAATCAAACACAAAAATGAAAGTTTCTTGCACTAAGCTTGCCTATAAACAATTTCAAACATAGCTTCAAACGGTCTAGCAGTGGTAACACATTTAACAATTGAAGTGTGATGTCATCTTTTTCTTTCGTCAAATTGACGATTAGTGAGAGATTGATTGAACTTGTTTAATATATCTATAAATACCAATTTTCCTCTGTCCCTACAGTACTCTAGCTTGATAGTTTTCACCGTCTGTCCATAGTTGAGCCATGGGATGACGATGATGCAAATGAAGCTACGAATGTCCAACCAGCTCATAACCTCTAAGTTTTGGGCAGGGGCGGAGGTGGGGGAGACCCCGACCCCCCCCCACCCCCCACAAATTTTTTGACAAAAATTTTAAATTTTTTGGGCTCAAAATTTTTTTAATTATCTCTTAACTAATCCAAAATTTGTAGGATTACAAGGCCTTTGTGACCTTGCACAAAAGTTGGTTGTGACAAAAAAAAAATGAAATATGCCCTTTATTATACAAGCTTTTGACATTGGTATTAATTTTTCAAAGTATGAGAATTCGAAAGAAACATTTGTAATAAGATATGCTTTTCCTAAATTAAAAATTAGTACTTTCTTTTTTACATTTCTCGATTTTTTTTTGTTAAGTCATCGTACATTAATTTATGTTTCATTGTTTCCTTTCTCTATCTCAAAGTACTAACTTTCTTCATTTTAACACATAATGTTTAAAAAAAAAATTTCGGGGGAACCCGGTGAGCCCCCAACCCTTCAACTCCGGGATCCACTAATTCAATAGGCTGGCTCCGCCCCTGGTTTGTTAAGATTTGAGGGTTCATCTTAAAAGGTCAATCTTGTTAAGAGGAGTAACCCAAGATCTTTATAAATTGGTCTGTGTCAACATCATTTTTCAATGTGGGATATATATTCCTTAACACTCCCCCGCAAGATGGTGGCTCATTTGAGCAGACTAATCTTGAAATCCACGTGCTCATTTTAGAGTCTTAGCGGGATCGAATCGCTCGTTGGAGCGTAATGAGCTCTGATACCATGTTAAGATTTGGGGGGTTCATCTTAAAAGGTCAACTTTGTTAAGAGGAGTAGCCCAAGATTTTTATAAATTGGTCTGTGTCAACATCGTTTTTCGATGTGGGATATATATACCCAATATTCCTAACATGATATCAGAGTTAGGCCCAATTATGCAATGTTGGGTGCCACCCAATATCGATTTGTTCACAATTATTTGGCATGGTCTACGCTGTGCGTGAGGGGGCGTATTAGAATCCCACATTGTTTGGAAAAATATAAATGATCCACTTAATAAGGTGATGGCAATCCTCCCCTAATAAGCTGATTTTATTAGGTGGAGTTAGGCCCAATATTCCTAACATGGTTTTGGGTATTACATTATTGATTCCTTAAGAAGTTTTTCCTTGCTGGTAAGACACTACGTGTTGGAATATTTTAGCAATTTGGGGCCACATGTAACATATTAAAAATGTGTGTGCTATTATCTAAAGTAAATTAGTCATTAGAGTGATCCACTAAGGATAACGTTTGACTAATGGGTATTGAATTTCGTGGAATTAAAGTGTAGAGACCGGAAGTTTGTTTTAAATTGTTGAGGGGCCGATTTAAAACAAATGAAAGATAATGAATGGTCATTATCTTATATATGGGTTATGGTCCCCATTTGAGTGTGTTCTTCAAGGTTTCTACATCCCCATCCATAGAAATCAAGATTGAAGTGAAGT